CGCCGCGTCTGATTCAAAATTGAAATCTAAATAGAAAGCATCTGGGTGCATAATGGAATTTGGTTTCCTTCCTTCTGAATACACTGCGGAAGTGCATTTTTTTTCAATTTTTTTATGGGGTTTTGGGTTTTTCTCTTGAAACCCGTGGTTGGCAGACGGGTCCGTTGGTTTTGCGCCCAGAGGGCAACGGCGCGCTCTTGCCCCATTCTTGTTCTGATGGCCTTATCTCGGCCGTATCGGCTCCGCCCCCGCGGGCTGTGGGCGGCATTACCGTTCCGTTCACGTTATGTTTTCTGTTTTTCAAAACTACGTCCCACATAATCTAATCGTAACGGCCGCGTGCATGGTCGATTCTCTCAATTATCTCATGACAACATATATTGCGCGCTACGCCGGCATGCATATGAATGGAATGAATGTGTGACCTTGAAAAAATTGTATTCTTCACCGTCCTCTTCGTTCTCCTTGTTTTCTTCTTGCTTCTTACCAATCGTTGTCTCATTACATTTGTCTACTTTAGTTATTCTCGTTCGGTTTATACCTTGTTCACTCTTTCTCCGTCGTTCTCGATCTCTACCTCCCGACGTTCCGCTATGATGCATTTCTTGACATATAGTCTCATTTTTCTTGATGTCTGCGCGTTTTGTCGCCCACCTTGTGAGACCGCACGATTCACTTCAAATGTTTTTACCGTGACCGCCCAGCCACTTCACGTTATAATCAGGATCGATCGGTTTTATTCTATAGAAACGGCAACAATCATTCTTTCGTTATTGAAACAAGCACGGCTCACATTGAAAAAAAAACAATGTAATGCTAGAACACGTTTCTTCGTTATACATATATATATATATATATGAAAAAAACTCTTCGGAGATGGTCCCCAGAGAAGTCCCCCAAAAAGTACTAAGAGGGTTTCAAGAGCCAAAACCCATGAAATTTCCAAGATACCCCGACAAATTCCCAACAAACCGCCAAAAAGGGGCAGCATCCGTTTCGGTACTTCCGCTACCGTTTCGGTACCTTTCATACACGTTTTGGTACTTTTGCGATATCGTTCCGGTACCTTTATCTACTCGTTTCGGTGCTTTCATGTATTCGTTTCGGTGCCTTCATTTATTCGTTTCGGAGAGATAAGGTATGATGATGAATAGTTAAAGGGTCTCCTCCTGTTCCACGGCCCCTGGAATAACGGCGGAGAATTATGGCAGGCGACGGTTGTTTCGCGCCTTTGGGCAGGACCGGGGAAGGAGGAGGAAGGCAGTAAAGGGGGAAGGATGGAAAAGCGAGGAGGGAGGGCAGAGGAATGATGGAGGGAGGAGGGAAGAAAAGAGGAGGAGAGAGGGAGGGAAGGAGAAGGGAGGAGGGAGGGAAGGGGGGGAAAGGGAGGAGGAAAGAGGAAGGGGGGAGAAGGGAGGAGGAGGGAAGAGGAAGGAGGATACACGAGGAGGACGACGAGGATAGGTGCACGGCGGGAAGAAGAAAGAAAGGCCAGGAGAGAATTAAAACACAAAGGTGGGGAGGGGCAAGGAACGACCCGTACCGTGCGAGATCGGCGAAACATTACCAGCTCTTGATTTCGCCTGGTTTGAACGCGTGCGCGGGCTTCGCAAATACTTTGCACCAGAAGCAAATGAAGACCCCCGTGCGGGCAAAAATAAACGAAAAGGGGGACACCGAAACGAGGAAGACGATATGAAATCAAAGCAAGACGAGCACAACAACTAACTTCTCTTACCTTGCTATGCCCGGTATAGGAACACAGAAACACCAAAACATGTTCCGTAGCCTTATTGGCTCAAACCCACACCTGCGCTTCCGCTACCGAACATCTCAATAACCTTGTTTCTTTACTCCGTGCGCATCAGGTAATTTGGTTCTCGCGCATAATTGCGTGGACAATTCTATGGTTTCTTCGGTGCGGCACAACTAGGGCACTTTCGACCAACAAATGATGCAGCGATTTTTGAACAATTACAGAATGGTTTCAGAAACTGAATACCAGGACGAATGGAACCGGCACACTCCGGGGAGGGGGTTCATCGTCGTCGTCGTCGTCGTTTCCGCCCCCGCTCCTCTTCCTGCTCCTCCTCCTCCCCCTCTTCCTCCCCCTCCTCCTCCTGCTCCTTCCCTCCTCCTCCTCCTCCCCCATCACCCTCCGCGCCCCCCCCTCCTCCTCCCCCTCCTCCTCTTTGTTTTAATCGACGCGAACAACGCGCAATGGCTACAAGGTCCAGAAACGCATTTTCTGAGATACCGAAGCAAATTTTCCGAGGTACCGAAAAGAATTTTTTGAGGTACCGAAACGAACCGACCGAGGTACCGAAACGGATTGGCAAAGATACCGAAACGGATGTTCAAGTACCGAAGCGATAGCGGAGATACCGAAACGGATGCTACCGGCCAGAAAGCACCTAAAACATTCGAAAAGGCTTTGGCAGGAATGCTAAAATCATTGTTGGCAACATTTGTGCAAAATGCCTTAAAATGACTTCCACTATGCTGCAACAAATGCCCAAGAGAGATCCCCAACAGACCCCGAAAAAGCCTCAAGAAATTCTCCGACGCACCCTAGACGCTCTAACTGGCGTCCTGGACCGCCGAGAACTCTAATACGCTCCAGGAGGCTTCAACTGTGGGGTTTTGCGCGCTGCCCCTTTGATCAAGGCAATTCCTTCGGGCATCGTTTTGGGATGGGCTGCGTTTGCGCGAACCGTCTATATATATATACATATACATATACATATACATATACATATACGTCGGAGGTGAGAGGTGAGATCGAAGTGGAACGGCTGGGAAATCGGTTTCGGTTTCGTGTTCATGCGTGCCGTGCGTGCGGGCGAGGCGAAGCTGCGTGGGCGGGCGAGAAATACACCTCCAATAGCTGAGGCGCGGCCAGACCAAAAGTCTCCCTTCCAGCGGCCCGGGCCCCGCGGTGTCCCGCCGGTGTCCCGCCGGTGTCCCGTGTGGCTGAGGCGCGGCCGGACCAAATGATTCCCTTCCGGGCGGCCGGGGCCCCGCAGTGTCCCGCTGGTGTCCCGCTCGGGGGCCGGTCGGTGGCGCGCGGTGTCCCGCCGGTGTCCCGTCGGTGTCTCGATGATGATGATGATGATGATGAGGATGACGACGACGATGATGATGATGATGATGATGTTGACGATGTTGATGATAATGGTGATGATGATGACGATGATGGTGATGGTGTTGATGATGATAGTGTCCCGATCATGATGATGATGACGACGACGACGACGATGATGATGATGATGATGTTGACGATGCTGATGATAATGGTGATGATGATGATGATGATGGTGATGGTGGTGATGATGATGGTGCCCCGATGATGATGATCTTGATGATGATGACGTTGCTGATGATGATGGTGCCCCGATGATGATGATGTTGATGATCTTGATGATGTTGATGATGGTCAGATGATTCGATGATGATGCTGATGATGAAGATGATGATGATGATAGTGTCCCGATGGTGATGATGAGGTTGATGATGATGCTGTTGATGATTAAGATGATGATGATGATGCTGTCCCGATGATGATCATAATGGTGACGATAATGGTGTCCCGGTGATGATGATGATGATGATGATGATGAGGATGATGATGTGTTGATGCTGATTTTGAGGATGGTGGCCCAATACTGGTGATTTTGATGCTGATATTGGTGATGATGATGGTGTCCCGATGGTGTTGATGATGGTGATGACATTGATGACGATGATGATGGTGTTCCGGTGATGATGATGTTGATGATGATGATGATGTTGCGAATAATGATGATGATGATGATGATGGTGCCCCGATGATGATGGTGTTGATGATGTTGTTCATGATGATGATGATGATGAGATGATGATGGTGATCATGATGGTGGTGTTCCGATGATGATGATGGTGGTGTCCCGACGATGATGGGGTTGATGATGATGGTGATGATGTTGATGACGATGATGAATGTGTTCCGGTGATGAGGATGTTGATGATGATGTTGCGAATGGTGATGATGATGTTGCTGATGATGATGGTGTTGATGATCATGATGATGAGATGATGAGGATGATGATCATCATTATGGTGGTGTCCGATGATGATGATGGTGGTGTCCCGACGATGATGAGGTTGATGATGATGATGGACGTTGATGGTGTTCCGATGATGATGACGATGGTGATGATGATGCTGTGGGTGATGATGGTAATGAGCTGATGATGATGATGATGATGGAGCCCCGATGATGCTGATGATGATGATGACGTTGATGACGATGGTGTTGATGATGATGACGTTGGTTGTGATATCGACTGTGATATCGATAGTGAGATCGATCGTTCGACCGAGTGGGAGATCGATTGTGAGATCGATAGTGAGACCAATCGTGAGATCGATTGTGAGATCGATAGTCAGATCGATTGTGAGATCGATCGGATGAAACAGATCGAGTGAGATCGATTGTGAGATCAATCGAGTGAGATCGATCGAGTGAGACCGACAGTGAGATCGATAGTGAGATCGATAGTGAGACCGATCGAGTGAGACGTTGGTTTCTCCCCCCCGAACCTCCTTATCACCCGAAGGGTGGTCGTATAGGTGTGTATGTGTGTGTGTGCGTGCGTGCGTGTGTGTGTGTGTGTCTGTGTGTGCGTTTGGTTGCTTCATATTTTAAAGCACACTCAATATGTTTTGGGGCAGTCAAACCCCGCTGCAAATATTCAGCAAACATTCGGTTGTCAAAAATGCGCCGCTTAAAACATTGTGAAACCCAGGTTCCGGCTAGGGAGCCGAAGAAAAGGAGGAGGACGAGGAGGGGGGCAACAGAAGCCAGACGAGGAGAAAGAGGACAAAGATAAGGAGAACGAGAACTAAAATAATGAAGAAGATGATGATGATGCTGATGATGATGATGACAAGCCCTGAGGTCAGGGTTCGGCCGCCTGGCCCGCCTCCTGAGATGAGGAGCAAGAACTGGTCGAAGGGGCTCACGTCCTCCGCGCCTGCCGCCCGCCGCCGAACTGCGCGACGAGCTTCTTGAACTCGGCTGCCCTGGCCTCCGCGCCCGCCTTCGACTCCACGGAGTCGGCGCTGGCTCGAGCCGCCCGCGGCGATGCACCAGCAGCAGCAGCCTCGGCGTCGTGCTCGAGGTCGCCCAGCGGGGCGCGGCGGCCACCGTCCAGCGCGGCCACGCGGTCGTCCAAGGCGCCGCCGTGCCCACGTCCTTGCCCTCGAACGCTCGGTGCGGCCCGAAGATCCCAGGGCCCTGGCCAATCGCCGAGGGCGGGGACTCTTTCCCAGGCATGCCCGTGGCGCTGAGGGGGGTACGTGGCAGTCGGCCCACGCACCGCCCCATCTGCGGCCGCCTCGGCGCCGCGCCCGCTGCCCTCCAGCGCGGCCAAGGCGCTGGCGCCGTCGCGCTCGCCCAGGCTGGGGGCGGCCGCGCCTGGGGCCTGCTGCTCTCGCGCGCCAGCCGCCGCCAGGAGACGGGCGACGCGCTCGGCGAAGCCCAGCGAGCCCAGCGCCGTCGCGGCGTTGCCGTCCAGCGCGTCCGAGGCGTCGACGGCCGCGGCCGAGTCGCTCGCCGCCCCCGCAGCCGCCTCGGCGTCGTGCTCGGCGTCGCCCAGCGCGCCCACGCGGTCGACGGCAGGGGGGCGAGCCGGCGCCACAGCAGGGCAAAACCTACCATTTTCAGTCAAAAGTGGTAGGTTTCCGTGGGGCGCCTCCGCGTCGTGCTCGGTGTCGCCCAGCGCGCCCTCGGTGTCGACGTCCAGCGCGTCCGAGCCGTCGACGACCGCCAGCGAGCTGCCCGCCTCCCCAGCAGCAGCAGCCTCGGCGCCGAAGCCCAGCGCGCCCAGGAGGCCGTCGTCCAGCGCGCCCGAGCTGTCGAGGTCCATCGCCAGGCCGAGCGCCTCCGCAGCAGCTGCAGCCTCGGCGTCGCGCTCGCCGTCGCCCAGCGCGCCCCCGACCTGGACGTCCAGCGCGGCCGAGCCGTCGAAGCAGTCCGTCACCAGGCCGAGCGCCTCCTCAGCTGCTGCAGCCTCGGTGTCGTGCTCGTCGTCGCCCAGCGCGTCCACGTACTGGTTGTCCAGCGCGCCCGAGCCGTCGAAGGTCGCCACCGAGCCGCGCGGCGCCCCAGCGCCAGCAGCCCCAGCAGCAGCACGCTCCGCGATGTGCTCCACGACGTCCGCCGCGGCCGAGGAGGAGACGCCCTGCGTGGCCGCGCGGCGCGGACCCGAGCTGGCGGCGGCGCTGGGCCCACCAGCAGCAGCAGCTCCTTGAGCTCCCCGAAGTCGTGCCCCAGCACGCCTATCCCTTCGAGCTCCGCGAACTGCCTCCTGCTGGAAATCTCCTCTGGCCACCGCGTGCCCGAACATGGTGTTCCTCCCCTCCTGTTCGTCACGCCATATCTGTGCCCTTTCGCGCACTCGTTGATGAAGTGCGGCCATCCTGCTCTCGAAGCCTGCCGCGGGCGCCGCCGCGTCCGTGCCGCTGAAGATGTCGACCTTCGTGAAGGTGGCGCGGGCCTCGCTCGTCGCCTCCAGCCGTCGAAGTGGGGCGGCGCGGTCGATATACCTCTTCAGCTTCTTGAAGGGACCGACGCCGCGCCTCAGGTTGTTGAGGACCTCGAGGCCCTTGGCGGTGGCAGCTGCGCATGGCTGCCGCAACTTGGCCTTGCGCCGCTGCATCGCGCCCAAGCCCCGCACTTCACGCAGATGAACACTGGCCTGTAGGTGTCCTGCGCGCCGCTCTCCAAGGTGCCCTTCTGGTTGACCGCGACCAGCTTGTGGCCGCTGGGGTTGCGCCGATGGCCCAGCAGGAAGGTGGGCGCCCCAGGGCACCCCGTGAGGGGGAGCGGCTGCCCAGGCGTGTGCAGCTGTAGGCAGGTGGAGCACTGCACGCCCAGCTCGCCATCTTGCCATTGGTGCCAGGTTGCCTTCCTCGTGCTCGCTGCCCGCCGCAAGGTCGGTGCCCTCCTGGTCCACCTGATCTGGTCGTCCTTGTCGAAGATGGGCATGACGTGGGCAACCAGCTTCGCAATCTGGTTGATCCTGCCGACGGCCTTCTGCATCTCCTCGACTACCTTCTGCTCGGGGGCGGGGTGGATCGCCGCTGCCTCCTTGGCCCTGAGGTCCGCCACGATGTTCGCGTCCGTGAGCCTCCTCTGGCTGTCGGAGAGCGCCGCGTACTCGTCCCCTGAGCGGTGCGCCTTGACGTGGGCGCACTGCTGCACGTGCTTGAAGCCGTCGAGCGACTGCGCGAAGTGGGCGATGCACGCATAGGGGGTCCTGGCCTTCAGCTGCAGCTCCTTCTGCTTGTTGCCCAGGTGGATGACGCCCTTGAAGTCGGCGTGGACGGCGCAGGGTCGGTCCGCAACCTGCGACACGTACGCCGACGCCAGATGCTCTCCGACGGCCGGCTCCTGGGGCAAGGATGCAGGTACTGCTCCGCGCATGGTCGCCAGCGGCCTGTCTGAGCGGGGGTCGAGCAAGGCGAGGCTCCACCCTGCGCGCTGGAATTCCTTGATGGGCGGCTTGGTGCACGAGCCATCGATGGCGACCTCCATGCTAGCGTCATCGTCCCTGAGGAAGCAGGCTGCCATCTGCTCAGGTTCCTGACAAGCCTCATCAAGAACTGTGGGTCCTTGGCCGTCGAGGATAACGCTGGTAGTGCCCGAGCTCATTGACGGAACATCAGCACAAGCATATCCATAGGTGCCTTCAACATACCCAGGCTCGCCTGCATGCTGACGTAGCTCGTCGAGGAAATCTTGGGGGACCTCTGCATCAGCTCGAGCTTGCTGAACTTCAGGTCTGGAACAATCAGGAAGTCGGTGCACGAGAGAGTCGGGAGCTCCACAAAAACACCTACCATCCGTGTTGTATCCACGCTGCTGGGCCCTCGTCTTTGTCCAGACGCCACTGCACGCGACATTCACGATGCAGAACTTCTGGTGCGCCGTGTACCGTTTGCTTCGCAGGGGGGCCAGGGGGGGCAGGATGTCGAAGGTGGCGCGCTTGCCCTAACCAAGGCCAAGCTTGTCCGCTAGGTCTCGCTCATGCTGACATTGAACACCTTGCTGCAACATCTGGAGCAGTAGTCCTGGGGTGAGCTGCTCCACACAGACCAGGCCGCCTCGATGGTTACGCCACCTTAGTGCCGAGGTTGCTGTCCAGCCTGCCCGCGCCAGCGAGAGGGCAGCTCGTTGGAGAGGCCCGCGGGTAAGTCCCCACGAGCTGCATACCCCAGGCTCTTCCACCGCTCTCCTCCACCACGTCGTAAGTAGTGCCAGAGGTACTGGTGCCTGCGCAGGTTGCGATACTGCCATCCAGACCAGCCGCGACCACTGCAGCACTGGCGCCATTGCAATCGCCACCGTGGGGCCACCCAGGAACACCACCTTGGCCGAGGCCGATGCGCCCCCATGACAGGGTTTGCGGAACTTGCCGAAGTCCGTGCGCAGCTTGTGGAGCTCCCTGTCAGCGAGCCCGTTGATCTCCACGCCGAAGGTGGCCGCCGGTCGAGCTCCAGCTCGGAAGATGTGGCCGTCCGCTGCGTCTGCTGCCCTGGAAGTCGATGTCGGAAACGACCCAGCTTGCGCAGCCTCTGCTTGTAGATCTTGTGGCGCGCCTGTTGCTTGGCGCGGAGGAGTTTTCCTCGCCTCCTCCGTGCCCCCGCGAAGTCCGTGCCCAGGTAGGTCGCCCGACTGCGATTCATGTCTGTGGGTACTTTCAGCTGCCGCACCACTTCCTTCCCGATGTCATTTGAGCTGGCCACCACCGCCAGCTTATCATTAATGCGGGCGCCGAGCTTCTTAGCCACATTGAAGAAGGCGTTGCCCGCCGCGACCGCTTGCAGGATGACGCTCTCCTTGGTGGCCCCGTTGATGCCGAGGGAGGTGTCGTCGATGTAGGACGCGAACCTTACCAGCGGGTGGAGCGTGACGTAGATGTCGCACTGCTCGATGGCGTGCGCTTTTATGACCACGTCTGCGTAGCCGTCGCCTGCTGGGAGGCCGAACTGTGCATGCCGTGGCTGCGCGCCGTGATGCTGGCGAAGTCGCATCACTCGTGGTTCTCTCCACTGATTGTACACAAGTTTTACCATCGCCAAGGGCATGCCGAGCCGCAGCAGCTTATCCCTTGCTTCGCCCAGGGGAATCAGCTCGTAGTACTTGCTGCAGTCAGCGATGATGGTGGCCGTGCGCCGCCCTGCCTCTGCATTATGTTCCGCATCCGCCGCCGGGATCCAGGCGCTGTCGATCGCGCTCCTGTTCTTGGCCGCCGCCCAGTAGGGCCTACGTAAGGCCTCTTGTAGAGGTAGAAGGGCAGGTTTACGGAGTCGTTGCCAGACTCTGTAGGCCATGGAGTACAGGATGATCAACCGGTGGCCGCCGGCGGCCTTGGGCAGCATCGGCATCACCATCCACGTCAGCTGGACGGGGAAGAGGCCCAGCGCCTCGCAGGCCAGCATGATGTCGCACAAGCCCTCCAACGCGTCGTCGCTGAGGTGCTCCAGGTGCGTAGGGTGCAGGCCGTCCAGGCTGCTGGAGGTCGCGATGCTGAAGGTTCGGGAGGCGCGTCGAAGTTCCTCTGGTGATGGCCGTTCGAGGGTAGACCTATCAGGAATCCACGCCTGGGGAGCCTCCTTCACCGCCTTCCAAAGCGCTGCGTGCGTATCCTCCATATCCTTGACTACAAAGTGCGGGTGCCCTGTGATGCCGTTCTCCGAGTCGTTGACCGCGGTGGGGGCCTGAACCTCTCGCACGCGCGTGACCTTGTGAAACTCCCCCGCTCCGCCAGCGCACGCCCCGTCGCACCGCTCTTTCCAGCGCCTCGAAGATTCCTTGTTCGCTTGCTGCATGGCGAAGTTGACGTCCTCGTCGATCTCTTCCGAGAAGGTCATGACGTCCTCGCCGCTGAAGCTCCTCTGCGCTAGCTGCCGAGCTTGCCGAACTGATGCGTCGAGCCGCGCGCTGAGGTTCTGGCCGCAGTAGTCAACAGCGAGGAAGCCCTGCACCTTGTTGTCGAGGACCTGTCGGCCTTCAGGTGTCCTGGCATTCGCCTTTGCAGTGGAGAGGCCCGCCAGGCAGTCCTGCAGCCACTTCCAGCCATCCGCGATCGCCTGCACCTCATCATCCGTGAGGATCTCGTGCTCGCGCTCGACCCACTTGGCTTGGAGCGGACGCGCGTAGGCGCTGGCCCGCACCTCCGTGCCTGTGAGATGCCCGAGCCTCGAGGCCGCCCTGGTCGCCCATCTGCCCCAAGCCTTCGAGAGGAAACGCCAGGCGACTGCAGCGGGCGCCTCCTTGGCCATGCGCAGCGCCTGCTCGTCGAAGCTGCGCTCCAGGGACCAGCTGCTCTCCTCGAGGAATGGGCCGTGCACTGTCTGCGCTGGTATCTTCGCGCCGCCGACGCAAGTGAGGTACCTGAGCTTGGTGCCCTCCGCTGTCAGTTGTAGCTGAACTGGTCGATGCGGCTTTACCGCCCAGGCCAAGTCGGCCTTGCATGCAGCTAGCATGCGCATGGAGCCCGTGGTCAGCCCGAAGTAGTCGATGGTTGAGACCGACGCCGCTGTCCCGCAGGTCGCGTGCCTCGGGGTGACCATCTCCAGCTGCGCGTGCACGGGGAAGCTGGAGTCCTTGACAACCTGCACGTCCATGTTCCAGTCGCCGCCAATGATGCCAGGGTGAGCCTGGCCCGCGAGCGCGAGCCCCACCGTCATGAGGATGCTGGCGTTGCGGCTGCTCATGCCCTCCCCTGTGTGGAAGTAGACGTTGGCGACGTTGAGCGGCGGCCAGTTCGGCAGCTCCACGACGACGTGCTGGGCCCTGCCGCGGACGAGCTCGGTGCCGTGCGAGATGGTCTCGTTGACGCTGCCTGCGCGTCTGGGCGGGGCCTCGTCAGGGTACGTGGGCCCGCGCAGCCCGATCCCCTCCCTGGCGAAGACTGCCAGACCTGCAGAGGGGAGGTGTCCTCGTGAGGGCAGCCCGGGCACGATGAGGCGTTGCCAGCCGCGTGCCGTTGCCCAAGAAGAGAGGCTCTCGCAATCGTCGATGCCGTAGCCGATCTCCTGGGCCATGATGACCATTGCTGTTGACCTTCTCAGCCGCTTCTGGAGGGTTAGCTTTCCCTGGTTGGCGTTGAAGGTCTCGAAGGTGTGCGTGACGGTGACCGCTGCTGGTGCCTGTAGTTCCTTGGCGCCCGCGCTGGCGGCCAGTAGCCCGCTGACCAAGGGCGGGTTACCCAGGCAGCGTGCCTGTGCCCAGGGAGCCTGCAGCGGTCCTGCGGTGCTTGCTGTTCTGGACCTGCGTGAAGGCGTCGGCCAGCTGCTCCTTGGCCCAGTCCGAAGGCTGCTGCCCGCTGCTGAGGAGCTGCTGCCAGAGGGCGCCGACGCCATCCTTGGCCAGCTCCACCCAGGCGGCGCCGCGCTTATCACCTCCTCGAGGCTGAGCGGAGCCGTCGGCGTCTTCGCCCATGTCATCGGCGTCCCGAGCTGGCGGCCCGTCGGCTGCACCTGCGCCACCGCCCTCAGCATGAGGAGCATGAACACCAGGTCCCTCAGCCATGGCCGTAGCCAGCTTCTCTGCCGCCTGCTTTCGGAGGGCCGCCTGGATATGGTCGAAGTGGGGGCTCGCCTTGAATTGCGCGAGGGCCTCCTTCGCGCCGTCGCCGTCGAGCTGCTCGGCGAGGTCGAAGCCAACCAGGTCCTCCTCCTTGATGACTGGGTGGGGCTTTTTCACCCCGTGCAGCCTGCATGGTCTGCTCGTGCTTCGCGTTCTCCTTGCGCAGGACCTCCACCTCGGCACGCTTTGCCGCGGTGGCCTCCTGCTTGTCCTGGATCTTGCGCTGGGTAGCCGCCAGCTGCTCCTCGAGGCCCTGCAGGTCGCTCGTGAAGCGGTCCAGATGCTGCCTGCGCCGCGCGAGCTTCTGGGACGAGGCCTTGTATGCAGCACCTGGGGGGCGCAACTCGCGCGCCTGCTGCCGAAGGTCGTCGAGAGCCCGCTGGTGCAGGAGGTGGATCGGGCCGCCCTCTGCCTCCGCGATCTTGCACTCCTTGAGGCTCTTCTCGTAGAAGTTGATATTCGCCTGGAGCTCCGTGCGCTGCTGGATGTTGCCCTGCCCCTGCTGCGCCTGCTCCTTGCTGCCAGCGCCCGCTCCTGAGGCCGCTGGCATCGTAATCGATGGAGGCCCCTTGGGATTGCCCGCCTGCTGGGAGATGCACTGCAGCACCAGCTCGCGGATCTGCTTCTCCGTGAGGCCGCTCTCCTTGGACCACGGGGCAGGCTTCTGCACGAGCCCTGTGCCGCCTGCCCTCTGCGAGGGTTTCTTGTTCCGCGCCTCCTGGTCAGCCCTCTTGGCAGCGTCGACGGTATTCTGAAGAGCCTGCCGCCCGCAGGAACACACGATGCGGCAAGCCCAGTTGTTGCTCTTCCCGCACAGGCAGCCCCAGACAGGCTCGCGGGGCCCGCGCAGCACTCTCGCCAGCGGCGGTGCGGGCGCCATCGCCCCTGCTGAGGAGCCGTGATGGGCGTCCAGCCTCTGGGCCGCGCCGCGCAGCCTGGCTGCCAGCGCAGGGGTCGTGCGCCCCGACCAGGCGTGGAGGAGGAGCCTGTCCTCCTTGCGTTGCAGTCGCGCTCGATGATGGGCGGCAGTCTCCCGCGGAGCCGCCGTCGCGAGCGCTGGTCTCGGCGCGCGCCAGGAGCCTATCCCCATCGCCTGCCCCGCAGGCGCCCAAGGGGGGAGGCAGCTCCTCGCGAGCCGAAAACTAAAATAATGAAGAAGAGGAGGAGGAAGGATGGGGAAGGGGAAGAAGAGGAAAGGGAGGATGAGAACGAAGAGGAGGGGGAGGAGCAAGAGGAACATGACGAGGAC